TTATGACAGAGGAATGCACGTTTTGATGTTAGCGACATTGTATTTAGCAGAATCGGGACCCCGATTGCCATTCTCGGATTACTGGACGCCACTTGTATCAATGAAGTGTCGTTCGCTCATTGTTTAATCGTGTTTTATCAGCTGTATTACCAAGAGCACTTACTGAGTTGCCCCTAACAATTGATCTGTTACTGTGAATTTTATCTCTACATTGTGTATATCATCTACTTTGATAACTACTTATATTTTCAAACTTTTCTTGACATATTTCAATGGCCACTTTCAAAAGATTAAATTGATGTAGTCCATCACACGTGAAAATATCCACTTGATTTTTTGCCAATAATTTCGAGTTTCGTACTATGGTCTTTTATTAATCTTTTGATATACTAGCTGTGTCAGCGACTTCTTCCGCGTAGAATGGTTATTTTGGGCATGCACTGTTTTTTTTGCAAGCCTCCTCTCGATCTATAAATTTAAGCTGTTATTCACGACGTTAGTCGCGTCTTCTTGTTCTTGCAAATCAAGCTTAGCTTACACATTTTTTAGACCATATAAGAGAAATCATCCTTTCATAATTTTTTTTGCAGCGTACGCATCGGAAACTCGACAAGATAAATAATTTTCCCCGTTTTTGCATACTACAAATTGGATAGTCCAACTGCACAAGAGTATAAATAGATGTGAAGATTTAAACAATTCTACAGACTCTCCGCTTATACTAAACCGTGCCGCGTCTACCACGAAACTCTTACGTCAGTTTAAAAATAAACAACATGCATTATTTACTATAGATTATTAAGATCTTTTTCATAACGCTACATCAAAAGCACTTGGTAACTTTTTGTTTAAATTACTAGCGTTATGACACAATTTACTGGAATTAATACATTTTTTGTAAGTCATTAAAAAATATACGTACGCGAATAAATTCAAATAAAACCATAGTCAAACATCGTACAAATATAGCGGTCATATATATACATACCTACGCACTTTTAAAATAAAACTTATATTTTTTTTTACTAAGGACTGTCGACGTTTTTTCACAATTACATAAATAATTTGAAAAAGGAGTAAAAGCTTGTATAAAACAGTTATAGACAGACGCAACATTTAAAGGTATACAAAGACAAAGTGAAGACTAATTTGTACAAAAAATAAAACATATGGAAATATAGGTTATTACTAAGATATATAATTATAAATGCATATATGCAGCATAAATTACACTAAGAAATAGATCTGCATCTATTGCTAATAACAATTATTTATTTATCATAGTCTTAGACTTATAATTATTATACCATACATCCTAGTATTCTAAGATCTATCTTGGCTAACTCACGTACTCTAAATTTTCTTTCATCAGTTCCAATTCCTCTACCATTATTTCATTCCTTTCACCGGTTGTTAAAAAGAGTATAATTTCTATCATATCACAGGCCATCGGAAGTGACTGCATTAGTCGTAATATGATTCTTCCTCTTATAGATATCCTTGTTCCTGTAATTTGCCACATTCTTAATTTTAGCATAAGTTCTTGCACTTTCCCTGAAGTTTGGAAAGAGGCAAATGTCATACCCATACCTAAGAAGTCCCACCCTCAATCCTTTTCTGACTACAGACAAATTTCCATTTTACCCTTCCTATCCAAACTCTTCGAACGCTTAGTTCATAATCAACTATGTGTCTTTTGCAAGTCAGGGTTCCTTATTTCCTTCCAGTCTAGATTTCGACCTGGTCATAGTCCGACTACTGCACTTGTTAAAATCACTGAAGATGTGCGGTGCAGTATCTTAATGCTGGTGTTCCTCAGGGTGGTGTGCTTTCTCCTCTTTTATTTTCTATTTTTATTAACTCAATATCTAAAAATCTTACTGTTCTTTACCATATGTATGCAGACGACCTTCAGATTTATACACAATGTGTCTTAATGATCTATCAACAGATATCAACACTACTAACAATGATTTACAGACCATTGCTGATTGGAGTTATAACTATGGCTTAAAAGTAAATCCAGCTAAGTCTCAATGCATCATTATTGGTAGTTCACAGCTGATGAAACAAGTTGATTTGTGTAATATTTCCTCAGTTGTAATAAAGGGAACCATAATCCCTTACAGTACGTCCGTCAAGAGTTTGGGGATCTTTATTGATAACAACTTTTCCTGGCACCATCAGCTTAAGCAGCTTAGTAAAAAAATGTATGCTGCCTCGCATTCCTTAAAACGTCTCCAAAATTTCCTCCCCATACCCACTAAAATCCTGCTTATTAATCCTGCTATAGTTTACGCGAGTAGTACACATTTCAATTAAACACTTTAAAGGTTTAAAACGCGATATATTAGTTAAACTTATTTGGAAATGATTTTTAACTTCGGCCCGACGTTTCGGATGCTTTGCAGCAGCCGTGGTCACGGGGAAACGTAATACATCATTAAGTAGGTCAAACAATATTGGTATTAAAATGAGAAATTCGTACTTAATTTTTGTACCATGCCCGACAGCGAGTAAGCATTCTTAAGATGTATTTCTATACCGTTTGAGTGCTATTAAATACTAACGTCCTACTTAGGGATTTCGTAATATCGAGCAATCGCTATCCAAGAAAAGCGCGGCCTATATCGTTTAATAACAATTTAAATCGCTTGCACTGTTTTAGACCTGTATGTATGTGTGTGTTGTTCAAACAGGAAGCACTCTATACTAACCACGGTGCAGGCGCACACATTGGAAAGAACAATAACCATTCGCCTTGATTGCCGCTCCTCGTGTATTGTGCCTCTGAATGCCCATAGCCTATTGATTTGGGCATAATAGCCTAAAGTGTTTGAGGTTACGAGATTTTAAATGTTACACAGATAGCACGACTAGACAAATGAATAAATATTCAACACGTGGAAAATATTATAAAGCTGTAATTTTGTTTCTATGAGCGCGCTATTCCCAAGAACGATTGGTTCGAATTGATTCTTTTGTCTCAGAGCATTTATCGAGGAAGGCTTCAGGCTATAAAACATTGCTACTAATAAGAGCGAAAAAACACTGACAAATGCCATATAAACGAGGAACATTATTTGTTTAAATAAAACACTTTAACGGTTTAAAACGCGATATATTACTAATGTGTACTATTCGCGTAAACTATAGACAGTGTTTAAGATTTTTCGTCTTTAAGGGTTGTGTTGCGTGCACTGCGAAAACGGTGTATGATACCGAAAAAATATGTATGAAATAATGATTACTTCTTAATTAAACAAAAGAATTGTATGCGACATTATATGTCTATCATTCAAGACTCAACTTGAAAAAAAGACGGGATGCGACCGACGTCGTGAGTAACACTTAACAGCTATAGTTTGTAAAGGTTTGCAAAAACAAATTTTGATGCTCAAAACTACTGTTTTACGCGGACGAATTCACTGTCATTGCAAGTGTGGAAAATAAATACAAAACCTTCATAGTTTCAACACTGTTTAATCGAAAATAAAACACAACAGTTAGTGCATCCAAAAAGATATGTCTTCTCCCCCCAATAGACATTGTAAAAAAGATTAAAACCTTGAAAGGTCAACTCTATATAGATCATTGTCAACTGAATATTCAATTCATTTGAATCTCGTCTTGTAAGCCGTATTAATTCAATCATACCTAATGCATTGTAAAGTTAACCCAGATCTCATCTGAGAATTGAATCGGAACAACCATAAATATTGATTGAATAGTGCATACAAAGAATTTGCAATACTTGAAAAAATTTAAAAGTAACCTACTAAGTAAGAGAGTAAGTAATATTCTATTAACAATACTTAATTAGTAGATTAAATAGAAGATATGTTGGTTGTGCTAGTACAGATTGTAGTATATAAATAAAATGTCAAATACTTCGTCCACCATCATAAAATATTTTACGTAGTCTACAATTCCCTCTGGATCTGTTTGGACAACCATCGCTTTTAGAATGTTGGTACTGATATATCTCATGTAGAGAACAATAAATATTGAATTACTAATAGCAGATTAAATACTGCCTGTAGTTTGCATGAGTAGTAAACATTTAAGTAAAACAATTGAAAGGTTTGAAACGCGATATATATTAGTTAAACTTATTTGAAAAAATATTTTAACTACGGCCGACGTTTCCGATGTGTCCCAGTAAGACGGCCGCTGAAAAGCATCTAAAACGACGGGCCGTAGTTAAAATCATTTTCAAAATAGTTTAACTAATATATGTCGCGTTTTATACCGTTAAATTGTTTTATTTTAATGGCAGATTCATTAAAATTTCATATAAACCTCACTTTAATTTGTCGCTTTTAAAATATTAATTATAACGCCAGCTCACTTCATTTCTGTCAAAAGGTTGAGTGAGTTTAAGTGATAGTTTTTAAATTATCATGATCCTCAAAATAAACGTAAAATAAAATATATCTCATACCCCTTGACCTACATCCAGAATTCCAATGAAATATGTTTATTGGGCACTCAGAAATTGTTCATATTTAAATATAGATGCGAGTTTTCAAAGTATACTCAAACGTTACTTCATACATTTTTATTAATTAAGATTATTCAGAAGTATTGCTGATATAAAATACTATAATATGCGTATTATATATTTCATTATATACTCACTATAAGTCTACAATATTCGTCTATAGACTTAAATAAGATTCTAAACAAGGAAAATGAAACACAATAATTAGTTTATATAATGTAGTACATTACCTTTTTATGTGTGATACATGGATATAAAATGTCTTAATAAAACTATTTCTTAAAGATCTGATCTTTTCTATTAAATTTATCTTATATTGTCTTTTGATTTTTTTACCTATACTGAATAAATGTAATTATAATTATAAACAAGAAAAATATGAAATACAATGCTATTAGTGTAAGCAAACATCATAAACAATCTGGCATTACAGGACTACTTAACTTCTTCATTAACGATGGTCTACAAGGTGTTAAAAAAGCGTTTAAATTTTCAGGCGACGCCGATATGTCGCTGAAACAGGGCAGCGGCACCGGCAAGGTCCATTTCGGTGGCTTGGACGATGTGTCTTTATACGGAACGCCCGTGGAACCAGCACCCCCTGCCCCGGACGCCAAACAGGGCTTCCTTCGCAACCAGCTCCAGGCACTCTTCCAGCCCACCGACAACAAATTAGCCATGAAACTCTTCGGATCCAAGAAGGCGCTGATGAAAGAACGCATCAGGCAGAAGGCGGCCGGCCACTGGGTTATACACCCGTGCAGTAGTTTCAGGTTAGTGTTGTTTTATACTACCGTCGATAAAATGGTATCTGCTACAATGTAACTTTAAAAGGAATGATAACGAGATACGTCCAGTAACTTATAGCTTCGCAAGATTATAGTTAATTCTTTGTAAATAAAACTTGCAATAAATTGCAGCTATGTAAATTTTATGAGGGTAGTCGTAACTCGTGAAATTGGATCAAATGTATGGGCACTATGAGATCGATTCCTTTATTTATAAGAGGTATAATAGGAGAAAAATATTTAAATTTCGTATTGCCAGGATAATATTTTTAGCTCTAAGAATGTATCTAGTCATTTTTATAATAAAATTACCTTGTAAACATTTAGTAAGGTTTATTTACAAAAGGCTTCAACAAATATTATATTTGTCACAAAAACATTACAAAGACAAAACACTTAGCATCGAATTATAAATCATAACTAAATGTTTTTGAATAAAACACTTCAACGGTTTAAAATGCGATATATTAGTTAAGCTTATTTGAAAATGACTTGATAACTTCAGCCCGACGTTTCGGATGCTTTAGAGCCGTGGTCACGGGCAGACTCCCCGTCATCAATTCAGTCATTTTCAAATAGTTTTAACTAATATATCGCGTTTTAAACCGTTAAAGTGTTTTATTTAAATGTACTCGCGTAAACTATAGACAGTATTTAAATGTTTTTGGTTTAGATAAACCCATAATTAAATTCTGAAGTTAGCCTTCAGTTGTTTAACGAAAATCGTTGCTCATCCAAAGGCTAAATCATTTGCAAAATTAACTAAACATATATGACCTTATTCTAGATAAATTTAAGTATTAAGAAATCAGTTTTTGAATCTAGATGGCTAAGATTTTGTTAGTCTAATTAACCATAAGCAATGCAAGCGACATTCACAGTAAGATTATGCGACTGAGTTTAATTCAAAACATTGTTTCTATAGAGGTTAAAACCGTAGCTACATTATATTTGCCACGGAAAAATCCCGGTATCACGAGTTCTCTTTTATGAAGAAAATGCTAAAGATTCCAGCTGTAAAATCGTGTTGGTTGAGTCTGGCGGCAGCTTATGCGCTCTCACAAAACTGAAAACGCAGTGTTATTTCTGATGCATCGTTTGACTTCTCAGTTATTTTTGGTTTTGAAGTCGTATACGAAGCTTCCTGATCTTAAATTTTAAAATTGTCATTAACTAAAAATATCGCGTTTTAAACTACAGTATTTAAAAGTGTTAATATTGAAATATACCCTATCCTAGAAAGCTTAGTTTGTTTGACAGTGTGACTAATTTGATAAAGAATTAATTCAATTTCAGTGTATTAGATAAATTAAACGAATGTTTTGTTTACGGCGCCTAATTTTAATATTCATTTTCTAAATAAATTATTAATTTTTGAGGTAATTAGAAAACATTACGAAAACAATTACAGCACAACACGAGCTCGACTTTCTTTGTATAAGTAAATTTGTTTGTAATTTACGCGAGTGGTACGCATTTAACTAAAACACTTTGACGGTTTAAAAGGCGATATATTTTAGACAAACTTATTTGAAAATTATTTTAACTCCCGCCCTATGTTTTGGATGCTTCAGATTTCCGAAAACCGAAACGTCAAAATTATATTCAAATAAGTGTAACTTAAATATATCGCGTTTTAAACCGTTCAAGTGTTTTATTTAAATATGTACTACCCGTGTAAACTACAGACAGTATCTCTAAACATCTTAGATTGTGTACAATCATGACTCAAAGATGAAATAAGATCTTTTAAAGAAGTCTATCTTAGTAGAACAAGATTACAAAGAAAAGAACTTCGTCTTCCCATAATAGAAATCTCGCCACAGAATGAGTGTCACTATCGTTCATCTTGCTAGTTTAAACTTCATAACAGAAAGTATAGATTTCGTTTGAGATAAAACGTTGAAGATTGGAAATATCCAATTTGCTCACTTGGATTACAACTTCCGCTTGCGTTCAGGAATTATGTCGTTTATTCTTTATGCATCTAAAATATTGTGAAAAGTTCTTTTCTTTGTTTCTTTGTCTGTCGCCTTCCCGCATTCTTGTTTGATTTGTCACATTGTCATAAAACACATTGAAACATATTTGACATTAACATAAACACTTTTGTACAATACAATTTCATACACCTCAAAGTATTTTATTGTCTTCAGAAAAACATTGAACATTGTATATAAATATACCTTCCTCTTGAATTACGCCATTTATAAAAAAAACTGCATTAAAAATCATTTTAAAGATTTAAGCGCACAAAGGGACAGAAAAAGCGACTTTGTTTTATACTATGTGAACTGTTAACATACAAATACAGGCAGTTCTCTATATTATGATTCTTATTCTCTATTTTATGTTATCGTTGGTTATATTTTAATAAGTAGGCTTAGAGAGTTAAAAAAAAATTGATGACACGTCCGAGACGATTTGTGCTACGCTTACCAAAATGAAGTATCGTATCCTAAAATTGTCTAATGTCTACAACCAATACGTGCAACTCTTGCGCAATACAATTCCAACTTTAACACTTACGTATTAAGGTTCAATGCCCTGTACTAACACAATTATAACTCATCAAAAACATAAATGTATAAACGGGGAGCCAAGTTTAAAACAAAAATTATTGCGCTTTGCTTCGCCTTTAAAGAATTGGGTATTTACAAAAATTGCAGTTATTAAACAATTTTGAAATCTTGAAGTAAGTTAATCCCTTATCTTCTCATTTATCCATACTGTCCCGATTACTTTTGCTATAAATTGAAGAAGATATTATAGTTCAAGGTTATTTAATGTAATAGTGGATCTAACGTTTCCCGATCGACTGCAGATTAGCTGACATCTGTATCTAATCGAGTTGCAGCGAGTGGCGGATGCTGTCATTTCTGCTCCGATAAACGATCACTCGGAAATTATGCTAAATACTTCATCTTGTATCGAGATTGCTAACTCGGAGATATATATACACTTAGAGAACTAATTATAAGCAATCATAGGGTCTTTAACATTTGCCACTGCTGGGACGCAGTCTTTCTTTCTTGAGGGTTTGTTTTACACGACCAGATATCGCACTCGCGACCTTACGATCGGAAATCGGTCAATGCACTTACGACTAGACTTTACGATTCGACTAAGTTAAGAAGAAAGTTAATGTATAGTGTATTTTTTTTACATTATTATTTTTGGTAAACAAACACACAATTCACATGAATACGTGATTTTCTCACAAGGTCTACATTGATTCACTCTAAAAACACTTTAAGACATTGGATTATATTTGAACGATTAAATTACTATAAATTCACTTAGTAAAAACCACAACTTCATGCTCAAATTTTATTAATTTAATTCTTATAACGGATCTACGCAAATTCACAGATTAAAATTTCTTCACTTTGACATTTACATAGAGATGAGATGTAAGCAAAGTTCAATACAACAACACAATAGAAGGGGACAATATAAGTCCCACTCTTTTGCCAAGTTAGAAAAAATACACTACAAACGCATGCCATAAAAATCGTAAAAATACTTAACGTAACTTTTATATTCCTAGTAAATATTGCTTTTTATGTTCTTAATTCAAAATTATGTCAAAATAATTTAACAGTCTACTATTCCCAAAAGCTAAACAGAATCTACATAATATATCAGTCGACTTGGATACTTCCACAATATTTGAGTTCGCAAGGAAAATAGAAAGCTTAATGTTTTACTTGAACATATCCTCAAGTTATTTAGCTTGGTTTAGTTAACGAGGTATTTAAACCTAATTAAAATTTTGTATTCATAGCATTTTGAACGAGATACGCACTGGCGGTAAACAGTTTTCAAAGTAAATTCAATTTACATAACGTACTGTTTGGAAATACATGTTTAACATTCTGTGCTTTCTTTATAACAAAGATTAATATTACATTATAATACATTTTGTACATTTACAATACTACATATTGTATTTCCCAGCAATTTCATTGGATATGTTCCGTTCGTGACATAAAATTTGTGTATTTATTTTGCGATTGTCATTTAGACATATTTCAACAAATAATTTACAACGGGTCATCATACAAATGGCTGATGGCGAACTTACGACTCGTCGGTTAAAATCTTACCAAAGGGGATCAACACACAGAACCGTTTATAACGTAAAAGTTTTTTACATAAAACACTACAAAGCGCGAACTATAGACAGTAGGTAACTTATTTTCAATTTAATTTAACTACGGCCTCGACGTCTTCTTAAAAACACTAAATTCATACCGGTAAATGAGAGGACAGCGCTAGAGAGCTAGTTTTTCCACATACCATCTAGTATGATACAGATGGCGCTAGTGTACTAGATTTGACTTTGACATTAATGGCCTCTTTGTTCTGCAGAACATCAAAAACGTTGAGTCGTTGTTTAAATTAAAAGTAAATTAACTAATATACTTCGCGTTTTAAACTGTTAAGTGTTTTCTGTTTCTCTAGTTCTTTACTCTGATTCGTTATATTCAAAGTAGAGGTATACGATGTCCTTCATATATCGCAATCTAAACTACCTTAAACTAAATACTGTCTATAGTTTACGCGAGTAGTACACATTTAAATAAAACACTAACGGTTTTAAAAAGCCCCCCCCCGACCCCCGCCCCTCCCAACCCCCCAAGCATCCGAAACGTCGGACCGAAGTTAAAAATCATTTTGAAATAAGTTTAACTAACATATCGCGTTTTAAACCGTTAAAGTGTTTTATTTAAATACCTTAAACTAATTTACAGATCGAAAATAAATTGAAAAACATTTTCGACTCGGGCAGGACTTGAACCGGCATCATCAGCTTTAAATTATATAGTGCCTTCATGTGCAATAACATGTGAAAAAATATTAATGTTTTCATACCTTAAACTAACTCAATTACCTATAGAAAAACTTAAACGTCAAACCAACTCCGAACTGGCAGAATCCACGCAATATCCAGTCATTACAGCTTGTTCTAGCCACTCCAT